CCATAGACTCCACTTCCTTGGCACCCCCTCGTCACCCCAGAGCCGGGGCCCAGCCCCACGTCTCGTGGCCTTTGCTCTCAGAGCCACGGGGGAGCTCCGCCCTGCTCGGCAAGCAGCTCAGCCTCCCGCAGCTCACGAGGGCCCAGGCTTTGGCAGTTTCCCCAAGTGTCCCAGTGACACCAGGGGCCGCTGGGCAGCAGCTTGGGGCACCTGGGTGGCTCAGTGGGTTAAGCCTCTGCCTTCGGCTCAGGTCATGATCTCAGGGTCCTGGGATGGAGCCCCGCATTGGGCTCTCTGCTCAGCAGTGAGCCTGCTTCCTCCTCTCTCTGCCTGCCTCTCTGCCTACTTATGATCTCTCTCTCTCTGTCAAATAAATAAATAAAATCTTTAAAAAAAAAAAAAAAGAGGCAGCGGCTTGGGGTAGTCAGTGCACCCCACACACCACCTCCCCAGAAGCATGCTCGCCTCACCCTGCCTTTCCAGAAAGGGAGCCTGTTAGCCAAAGAGCACAGCAGCTGGTGTCTGTGCCAGCGCCCCCTCAGATGGGGGCCCGGGGGCACAGGGCCAGGAGGGAGAGCTGGGTGAGGGGGTGTCATGAGACCGAAGACCGTGATGGAAACGAGAGGGGTTTGCTCTGCAGCTTTTGGCTCCGAGCCTTCCAGATGTTAGGAGGCGGCAGGGAAGGCGGGTGGAGTTGGAAGGGATCTGGAGGGAGTGTGTCTGTCCTCGGGCTCCATCCCCTCCCCTCCCATCCCTGTGCCGTCACCCTGGCTCAGGAATGTCTCAGCTGTGCCCGGGATCATCCCCGTTGCCTCCTGGGGCCTCCCTCATTCTGACCCACGTGGGCCTCAGGCTTCCCCCGTATCCTACTGCCGCCCTCCCCCGGCACAGGATACAGTGCAGGTAGACGGGCAAGTCCGACAGGTCTGGGCACAGCACCCGTGTCCTCCGCTTACAGTTCCACGGTCTCTTACTCTTCAGTTTCTTCATCTGTGAAATGGGCCGGCTGGTCCCCCCACCCTCTTGCCTGTACTGCACACTGCCTGGCACGCAGTCGGCCAGGAACTGTAGCCCTTGTGCCCCAAACCTGCCTCTCACCCAGAGCCCAGAACTCTCTACCCACCTGGCCTGGCCCTGCCAGTTGAGGCCCTGCCCTTCAGGTCCAGCTCGCAGCCACAGCCCGCTCCCCTGTGGGCGTATTTACTCCTCCTTTGTGACTCTCACGTGTTCTCTGCACACATTGCTGTTTCGTCAGACTTTCTCATCTCCCCGGCCAGAGCGGTGATCCCCAAGGCCAAGTCAGACTCTCGTGCTCCTTCTGTACCTGCCCTGCTTCAGACACTGGGCATCACGTAACGTGGTCGTTCGCTGGTCGACCGTTAACCGGGCGTTCGCCGGTCGACCCCATCCTGACAGCCATCGCTAACGGGAGCAGCTGTGCTCACGCCTGAGAGCCGGGAGGCCTGTTCACCGGCCCAGATCCTCAGATGGCTCGGGTAGGGCCACAGCCGGAGTGGCTGGGCCCCGACCCTTGAGGCCCCCTTTGCCCCGGGGCCCTGGTCTTAGTCACCTGTTCTGTGCTGACAATCAGCTTCCCCCCCTCTGTGCCTGGCATGGCAAAGGTCATCCTGGCACCCACAGATGGGCAGGGAAAAGTTAGCTACATGGACGCAGGAGGGGAAGTCTGGGCCAGGAGAGGTCAGGTGACCTCTGGTGTTACCCTGGGATGTGGTCCTGGAGCGCCGCAAGTGGCCCACAGACACGAGGCGCAGGGCATGAGTAGGGACACACGTGGCAGCCCTGCACATCTCCCCTCCTCCCAGCACCTCGTGCCAGCTTCCTCCTCCCCCTCCTCCTCCTTTCCCTTCTCCTTCTTCTCCCTGCCTTGTTTTCTCTTAAACCCTTACATGATCAAAGCAGGTCTGCCCGGGTCACCGAGCCTGCAGACGGACCCCTTCATTTTCCGTGTCGCGCGTGTCGATCCAGTTTTCCTGCGGAGACGATTCAGCTGGAGGCCACTGTTGGCTTCCTCCCTCCCCACAGGATTCACACTGCTTCCCCAGCTACCACCAAGTGGCCACTGTGGACATGCCTGCCGGTGACCAGCTCCCCATGATCCCCTCCCCCGCCCCCGAAAGCAGCTTCTCCTGCCCTTCTGTGTCCTGAGGCAGGAGCGGCTGCCCCGCTGGCTTGCGCTCCTATCGTGGGTCCTTCCGCTGCGTGTTCTCTTTCTGTCCCAATGGTCAGATTCCCTGCTTCTCTCCAGAGGAATGATGACACGGGTCTCCGAAAGAACAGCCCCTCCCCCAGACAGTCTATTACTGATGCCCACAGGCCAACCCTTGTGCCTGGAAGTCATGTAGGTGTGCTGGGGTGAAGATCCGGTGCCATTCCAGGCTCGCTCGTCTCCCAGGTGCCTCGTTCACAGGGGGTGCTGTCAGCGGACGAGGCTCCACTGCTCATAGACACAGGTGACCGGCCCCCAGGAGAGACCCCCTGCTCTAGCCCTTTGTGGACAGTCACTGAGCACTACCCTGAGGCCCACCGTGCGGGCAGCGCCAGTCCAGGGGGCGAGGAGCTCGAGCTGGTCTCAGAAGGGGCGGGGGCGCGTCCGCTGGGCCGTGGGGAGCTCCCCTCGGAGGCCGCTGCCAGGTCCCACTGCCGGGCAGCCTCTTCGCAGCCCTGGGTCTCACCCCGTGGGGGCCGCTGGGGGCACAGACTGGCTCCTGTACTGGGGCGGGGTTCTGGAGAAGGTCCTGGCCCAAGCTGGGCTTCATGTTGGCTCCAGGGAGGCGCCGGCCTGGCTTTCTCAGCGGTGGCCTCTATGGGGTTGGAGCTGGGGATTCAGGCTCCGATGAAGTTGGTGGGGCCCGGGATGCTGCGGTTTCCACACACTGCTGCGGTGGCCCTGCAGGAGAGTGGGCGCTGCTCACCACCCTCTCTGCCTGTGCTCGGGGCGGGGCTGCCGTGGCCATGCAGGGCTCGGCCAGCGGGGGACCTTCCGCGCTGGAAGCCTGTGGGCGCCCCTGGCCGGTCTCAGGTGTGGAGAGGAAGAGCGGGCCCCACCAGGCACTACTCCTGTTTCTTCCTGCCCCGTGAGGGAGCAGGATCGGGCCGTAGGGAGTCCGACCGAGGGCATGTGGGAAGGGAGCTTTGGGTGCGGTGCACGTTCTGTGGGGCGACAGGTTATTTCCGGGGGAGGGGGGGCGTCTGCTTCTCTCATTGGATCTGAAAATGTGTGTGCGTTCCTCCTGAGCAGGAGCGGGATGTCGGGATCATGGCCTTCCCGTGGGCAGGGCCCTTTGGGACCCTCCCACCCCCCTCCACTCAGGCAGCATCCCAGCCGCCGAGCCTCCACCACTGGCTGCTCGGTGACAGGAGGCTCCGGTCCCTAGAAACACCTGCTCCTCCCGCCCAAGGGTGCGCGCTTGTTACCAACACCTGCAGCTCTTCCCACGGGCCGCTCGGGCCCCTCTCGGCCGGGCACGGTCTGCACCCTGGCGCGGCCCCCACTGAGAGCTCCGGCCCTCCGTTGCTACAGTTGGCACATGACTTCTTTGGTTTTCCCTTTTTCCTCTTGGCCTCTTGTCATCCTTTCATTCATTTGTGCTGGTCCAAGGCTATGAGCTTTGAAGAGAAAGGACGTGGGGAATGGTCGTCTGTTCTGTGAGGGCCTTGAGCCCGGAGCTCCCAGGCGGGGTGAAGGGAGACTACTAGGGACCCCGCGTGGCCTCCTGTGTGCCCAGGTGCAGGGACAGCCTGGGAAATCCAGCCCCACACGTGCTGCCTGCCGAGCTGAGGGCTCTGGGGAGATGGGGAGGCGCCCCTCGTGCCTGCCCCCTCCCCAGCCTGCAGGGTCTGCGCGTGCCCGTCCGGTTCGGGGCGGGCTGTGGCTCCTGCCTGCGCCACCTTCCCTGTCTGCCCTGCGCCGTGTCCTCCTGCACCGAGCAGGCCGTCGTCCTGGGGCCCCGGAAGGTGTGGTTTTGAGCGCTTACGCTTCGACTCCCTCCCAGTTCACCAGAAGAGTCCCGTCTCGCGTCAGGCCGTGAATTCATTTCCCTCTCTGGCAACCACTGAATTTGAGAACGTCCTGTTTTACCGTCATCAAAAGAAGTGAAACTGTCCCACGAAATAAAGTGGAACGCCCCATGATGGCCCAGGGAGAGACCAGGGTCTTTCCTTTTGGAGTGACCAGCAGGAGCCTGGAGGGCAGCCCCTGCCCATCCTGCCGGGTCCCCTAGAGGATGGCGCATGGCCTGAGCCACTGCAGGTGGCGACAGTCACAAGGCAGACCCTGCACCAGCCCTGCTTCCTTCCTGTCCCCGCGCTGCAGCAGCCTCACCGCTCGCCTGCGCTGCAGGCCCCTCCTGACTCCCAGGGTCAGCCAAGTAGAAACCCCGACCCACTGGCGCACAGACCCTGTCTGCTCCGGATCCAGGGGCGGGGGGCACAGAGCGATGGCCTGCGTCGTCCGCACGTCCGTTCAGCTGCAGGACCGCCTCCCCACTGCAGACCTGCTCACTTCCCAGAGGTGCCCGGGGAGAATGTGTTTTGGGGAAGTGCTGGCCCCTGGGTTCCAGGATTCCTTCCCAAAGAGGCAGGAATTCAGTGCGGGAAAGGGAGCTGTGTGACCCCAAGCAGAGCTGTTCTGGTGAACCTCATCCCAACACCTGGAGCCGAGCCATGGCATCACTGTCCGGGTGTGGGCATCTGAGCCCTGAGAGAGAACGTCACTCAGCTGTGGTCGGCCCCACGCGCGTCTGCGGGGATGGTGGGGCCTCGAGGGGTAGGCGTGACCAGGGAAGGCTTCCAGCAGGAGGCGCCACCCCTACTCCCCCCTCCCCCCGCCACCCACCTTGCCGTCAGCCACACCCCTGGGAAGCCACCCTGGAGGGCGCACCCCTTCAGCAGCTGCCCTGGCAGCGGACGTGGCTGGAAAGCATAGTCGGGCCTTCTCCTCATCTGAGGCTCACACTGGTTTCCCTCCTTCTGTCTCCCAGCTGGTCAGCGAGAAGGTCGGAGGGGCTGAAGGGACCAAGCTTGATGAAGACTTCAAAGAAATGGAGAAGGTACCAGGAGAGCTGGTGCGGCCCGCTGACACCCAGCACTGTCACCCTCCCAGGCCACAGCCACACCGCAGCGGGGCTGCGACGGGGGTCCCGGATGGATGGGCCTCTGGCCCTGGGAGGCAGGGGGCGGGGCAGAGGCAGGGGCTGTCCAGGGACTCCCGGTCTGGCCTCCGGCGTCCCAGTGGTTGTGAAAGCCCACACTCCGCTTCTCTCGACAGAAGGTGGATGTCACCAGCAAGGCCGTGACGGAAGTGCTGGCCAGAACCATCGAGTACTTGCAGCCCAACCCAGGTAGGGGTGCCAGCCGGCTGGAGGGGTCCGTGTCAGCCAGGAACCACCGGTCTCCGGGGCCGAAGGAGGAACGTGTGGGCTCAGAGAACTGAAGTGCCCGGGAGCAGGCAGGCGGGTTTCATGGGGGGCTGGACCCAGGGGTGCAGAGGTTGCCCTTAGAGTCCCATGTTTCCTTTCGTCTCCATCAGGCAGCTCATGTTCTGTGTGGCAGCCCTAGTCCGAAGTCACCCCTACAGCAGTCCTAGTCACCCCTACAGCAGTCCCCGCCGGGAAGGGCATCTCTCCCCCCTGACCAACTCTTTGCACCAGTTTGAACTGGCTGCCCACCATTTGCCAGGCCCTAGCTGCAGGCCCAGCTTTGGAGCGTGAGGTGGGAGTCTCTAGTCTGAGAGAGAGACGGGGACCTTTCCCTGAGGACAGTCCAGATCCGAGTTCCCGCCGTAGGAGGTGACGGCTGTGGGACGTGCAGCAGCTCCAGCCGGGTCTGCTTGAGTCCCCGCGCCAGGGACAGAGCTGAGCCGGCGAGGCTAGCGCACAGCTTCTCCCCTGCGCCAGGCACCTGTACACACCTATGCCTGCCTGCTCACTTCTCTGGGGTGCTAGTCCCCAGGCCAGGGAGGGGAGCTTCTGGGATTGGAGCTGCGCTCCAGGATGCAGAGGCCCCGAGGGGCCCAGGGGAGCCGGTCACCTGCTCGCCGCCAGTGCTCCTCTGTGGCCAGGGTGGGCAGAGGTGGGAGGTCCGCGCAGGAGATTCTCCTCGGAGCCTGGCCATCGGCAGACCCAGGAACTGAGCTTCCTTGGGCCAGGGCAGCGCTCTATAAGGGTGTTGGGGACAGGCAGCCCGCAGCGCTGGCAGAGTGCAGGCCTGTTCTGGAGAGAGACCGGCCGCAGGCCTCCCCAGCCCGTTCTCTTCCAGCTTCACGGGCCAAGCTGACGATGCTCAACACGGTGTCCAAGATCCGCGGGCAGGTGAAGAGCCCCGGCTACCCGCAGTCGGAGGGCCTGCTGGGCGAGTGCATGCTCCGCCACGGGAAGGAGCTGGGCGGCGAGTCCAACTTCGGTGAGGCCTCCGGAAGGCCAGGCTGCAGGGCCAGAGCGCCTGGCGCTGGAGGGTGGGGTGCCCCTTCCCTGCCGTGCTCTGGAGTCCTGTACGGGGCCTGTTAATTCCCTGGACGAGGGCGACGGAAGCTCCCAGAACACCCTTCTTTCCTCTGTGGGGATGAGCAAGGAGCGGAAGTGCTGCCGCCGGAAAGCCTGCCCTTGAGCCACAGCTAACGTCGGGGGAGCCACACGTGGGGGCGTGGGGGGTTTGACCCCGGCCATCGCCGGCTCCTCCTGGCTGCTGGGCTCAGATTCAGACTTCAGGGACCCTCGTCTGGTTCTGAATTCTGGCGTCTGGGCCCTGGGGGGTGAGGGCAGGTTCGCAGTTGGGGGTATCTTGGACCCCAGGCCCTGGCCTCCTAGGACCGCTTCTCCCCTACTCCGCCGCCAGGGGACGCCCTGCTGGATGCGGGGGAGTCCATGAAGCGCCTGGCGGAGGTGAAGGACTCTCTGGACATCGAGGTCAAGCAGAACTTCATCGACCCGCTGCAGAACCTGTGTGACAAAGACCTGAAGGAGATCCAGGTGCTGCCCCGCCGCCCCCCGCGTGCCCACCCCCACCCGGCGCAGGTGCCTCACAGCCCTGCCCTTGCGTGTCTGCGCCTCCCTGAGTGCCCGGCTTCCTGGAGCCCCAGCACGTTCCTCACAGCCCGATGCTCCCCCCGCCCCCAGCACCACCTGAAGAAGCTGGAGGGCCGCCGCCTGGACTTCGACTACAAGAAGAAACGACAGGGCAGGATCCCCGACGAGGAGCTGCGCCAGGCCCTGGAGAAGTTCGAGGAGTCCAAGGAGGTGGCCGAGACCAGCATGCACAACCTCCTGGAGACCGATGTGCGTCTGGGCCCCCCGGGGGGAGACTGCCCCAAAGTGGGGCCCGAGGGCGGAGTCACGCTTGGCTTACCCGCAGCCCGGAGGGGCCGCCGCGGGCCCCGAGGGGCCTCCCCCGGCCCTGTGAAGCTTGAAGGCCTCCTCCAGCGGCAGCGCGGGGCCGGGCAGAGGGGGCGGGCCCCAGTCCGGGAGCATTCTGGCAAGACCCCCTGAGAGCGGCAGCCTCGCGGGCGGGGGTCACGGGAGCCGGCCCCTCAGCGGGCTGCTCCTCACAGATCGAGCAGGTGAGCCAGCTCTCCGCGTTGGTGGACGCCCAGCTGGACTACCACCGGCAGGCAGTGCAGATCCTGGACGAGCTGGCCGACAAGCTCAGGCGGCGGTGAGCCCTGGCCCTCCCCGCGGCCCGTCTGGCCTTGGCCGCGCCCTGGAAGCCCAGAACCGCTCCCGCGGGCCCCCGGCTGGCCCTCCACGCCAGCATCCCCGATGGCCCAGCCCGGCTTGGGGTCCGTGTCGGAGCAGGGGCCGGCTTCTCTTCATCAAGAGATGAAGGCCGCATGCGTCGGGCGGGGGCTCCAGGGGGAGCAAGAGCACCTCACAGGGGAGGGTTGGAGCGACCTGAGGCGGGGAGGCCAGAAGGGGGAGACCTTTCAGAGCTCTGGGCCTGAGGGGCGGGTTACCCAGGGCAGGGGCGGATGGCGCTCCCCTCCGAGGGCCGTGCCCCCAGGTGGGGTGGGCACGCTCCAGGGCTGCAGAATTTGGCAGGACCTGGCCAGTTGGCAGCCTCCGAGCAGGGTCTGAGCTAGGGGAACTGACCAACTGGGAGGCCCTTTGGTTAGACCCATTGGGCCTCCGCGTCCAGGCCGGTCTCAGGGCTCCTCCTCCCACCCCAAATCCTGGGCAGCAGCATCAGCGGTGGGGATGGGGGTGTCTCTTCCCCTTGGCATGCACAGGACTCGGCCCCTGCTGGCTGCTCACAGCTGTCCCTCCCTGCCTGCAGGATGCGGGACGCCTCCTCTCGTCCCAAGCGGGAATACAAGCCCAAGCCTCGGGAGCCCTTCGACCTTGGGGAGCCTGAGCAGTCCAACGGGGGCTTCCCCTGTGCCACGGCCCCCAAGATCACACGTAAGCAGTGGGGAGGGGGCCACACAGAGCCTGCTGCTCCGTCCAAAGCGCGGAGCCAACTGCCGCCCCTGCCCCCCACCCCGGGGAAGGGGCCCAGCCCAAGGTTCTCAGCCCCCCTTTCTGCTTTGTCTGCAAGCAGCTTCGTCATCTTTCCGGTCGTCGGACAAGCCCATCCGGACCCCCAGCAGGAGCATGCGTGAGTCCCTGCGGGCACGGACCCTGCCCTCACAAGCTCCCCGCCGCAGTGTGACACGCTGCTTTCTGGTCTGTTCAGAAGGACCCTTCTCCTCCCCTTCTCTGGTGGAAGCGGACGCCCCTGGGATCAAATCCTCTTGGCCCGTCTTGGGCAGGGAAGGAGTCAGGTCCTGGGGCCTGCCCGGCACAGCACGGCATCTCTGGGTTCCCCATCCATAGCACCGAGGGTGGCCAACAGCTTCTAGGCTCTCTGACGGGCCGCCTGAGGGTTTCTGGTCATTCTGTCCCCCTGATGCCCCTGGGCATCCCCAGCTCCTCCCAGGAGTGTTTTGGTGCCCATGGATGGAGCCCATTTCCATCCCTCTTGGCCTTCGTCCCTCCTTTCTGACAAGGCCGGGGGACATCAGGAGCAGCGGCAGCTGTCCTTCCGGGGACGCAACCAGGCTGGGGCAGGGCGGGAGGGGGCCCGGGGTCTGAGCCGAGCCTCTGCCCCCAGCCCCCCTGGACCAGCCAAGCTGCAAAGCGCTGTACGACTTCGAGCCTGAGAACGCCGGGGAGCTGGGCTTCCATGAGGGTGACGTCATCACGCTGACCAACCAGATTGACGAGAACTGGTACGAGGGCATGCTCCACGGCCAGTCGGGCTTCTTCCCCCTCAGCTACGTGGAGGTGCTGGTGCCCCTGCCGCAGTGAATGCGTCGGCCCGTCCCCACGGCCTGCGTCCCACCTGCCTCTGCAGCCAGGGCTGGGCGCCGGCGCCACGGGGGCTGGGACGGGGCAGGCGGTGGCAGGGTCCGCTGACGCTCGCGCTCGTCCACAGCCCCTCTCCACGCAGCAGTCTCGGGGCCGGGCAGTATTTTCCCTCCCCATGCCCGCTGCTCCTGGACTGCCTCTCCCCAGCCCTGTGCCCCGAGGGGGCGGACACTAAGGTGCTCTGAGAAACACTAACTTCCTCCCGCCCCTCCAGGAACGGGCAACTCCAGGTGGGCCCCCTCACTCACTCACGCACACGTGTGTGTGCGCACATGCCCGGTCCTGTCCCTGCTTCGTCCTTTATTCTGGGCTGTCCCCCACTCCCCAGGAGACCTGCCCTTAACAGGGTGAGCAGAACATCCGCGCCACTGGCTGTTCTGAGCAGGACCCCTAGCCCAGGCTCACCAGCCAGCTTTTAAATGACCCCACAGCACTCCTTCCCAGCCCCAACCCCAGGGTTCCCCAGGCCCCGGCACACCCATGGTGCCACCTCCCTGGGGACACACAATCCTGGGGTCCTCAGGGTTCCCCTAAAGACTGGCCCTTTCCTCAGCAGCCTCGGAGCTGCTGGCGCCTCCCTCCTGCAGGGCGCTCAGCTCTGCACAGCGGCGCCCTCCGCCCCCCGCACCCCCGCCCCGTCCTGCACCCTCTCCTCAGTTCCCACGTGCAGGGTGCCCCAGACAAGCACACAGACGTTTTTCTCTGGCACGAGCTGCCACCACCAGCTGTGCACACACCACATACGTGTGCACCACAAACGGGACCACAAAAGTCTCCAGCCTCTGCTCTGCTGAAGGTCAAACACAGAGGCTTTGATGAATGTTCCCAGACCCCTGGCTGCTGGGACTGACCTCAAGAGGGTCCAGGCACCTCCCCCCTCCTCAGCCGGCCACTGTCCCTGCTGCTGACAGTGGCCCCAGCCATCTCCCTACAGACCCAGGCAGGCAGCTGCCCTGAGCAGCAGAGCCCAGCCCCGCAGCCACTTCCTCTCTTGCCTAGTCCAAAAATCAGCTCAACTTGGGGACTTTGGGACTGGATCACATTCCCCTCCTCTGATGACTCAGCAAAGCCCTGGGGACACCAGGCTCTGCTCCTCCTTGAGCCCCCCCCCCCCCAGTTGCCATTCGTGGGGGGAGGCACTGACCTCCTGGCAAAGATGACCAGCATAGCCTCGGTCACAGTCGAGGGCAGATCAAAATGTAATCCGGATTTTTTTTTAAAAAAAGTATTAAATGTCTCTTTCTAGAGCCTCTTGCTTGGTTGAGGTGCAGGGTGGGTCTTCCTCCAGCTCCTCTAGACCCTCATAGCTCCCCTGAGGGGACCTCTGTCAGGACCTCCTGGGGACCTCCCCAGGAGCTGGGGAGGGACAGCTGGCCTCTGCCCAGCTGCCAGCACTGGCCTCGGATGCCCCCCACCACAGCTGCGCGACAAGTGTCCCCTCCTGCACCGACCAAGGGGCCATACCACCCTGACAGCCACCCACGTGCCTGGTGACCAGTGCGGGGAGGGGGTGCCCCCCCAGGTGAGACACACGCCCAGGCTCTTTGCTTCTCCCCTTTATTGCTGCACCACAACAAAGCCCCCTGACCCATTCCCCCTCAGCCGGAACCACTGGGGGTTCGGAGGACGACCTCGGAGGCGGTGCCTCAGCTCCCTTGTTTAAGAAGGCTGTAGACCTGCTCCAGTACATGGCACAGGCCCTGGTCCTTGGGTGTCCTGCTGGCCAGGGACATCTGAAACGAGCAGGGCTGGCACCTCAGGGCTGGGCCCCATGGTCCTGGCGTCCCCCCGCCCCCCATCCCAGCAGAGGAGCTCTACTAACAGAGGTACACAGTAGTGTCCTAAGAACGAGGTTTTATTTTTAAAGGAGGCGGCCCACTTGTGCGTGTTCTGGGTTTGGGCTGAGGAAGGGGGTCCTTTCTGCACATTCCACATCCTGCTTTCTCCCCAGCTGCCTCCCTGTCAGGATCTCACACCTGCTGCGTGGGGAGCCGCCCCCCCCCCACCCCACCAGCCCAGTGACAGTGTGGAGGGGGCCCAGTGGCAGCTCAAAGCTCTGGTCACTCTTAAGTTTGAACAAAACAAGCAAGCATGCAAAACTGTGTTTCTCTACCCGGTGGAGTTAAAAATGCCGTCTGAGAAGGACTTCTGTACCGGAAGTCAGACACACACACACACCCTGCCCCCTCCCCAAGGCCACTAAGCCCTTAGGAGTCTCCCTCAATGACTGTAGGGCCAGAGAGCTGGAGAAACCCTTCAGGGCACCAGCCACTCTCTGGCGGCTGCGGCTCTGGCTCGGACCGCTGCCCCCTCTGTGTTTCCTGTGGGCGCCCAGGCTGCGAGATGCCCTGTGTACTTCTCTCCAGCCTGTGCTCCCCAGGCCTTTATGCCGTCATCTGCCTCCAGCAGGGGTCCCTGTCCCCATCACCACCCACCTGTGGCCAAACCAGACTCCTTTTCATCAGCTTTCGTGTCCAGAACAACTTAGGACACCCCGTGTCTCAGGCTGCCCATGGATAGATCCTTGGAGGCCCTCCAGGAACTGTCTTCCTCAAGGGGCTCGCAGGAGGCTGGGGGCATGAGTCTTACCTTCAGCTTGTCCAGGTACGTGTGCTCCTGGCTCCAGGGTTCCTGGAACCTCACGAGGTCCGGGGCACCCTTGTAGAACTCCACCAGCAGCATCTAGAGGACAGGGGGCCAGTGAGACCCCCTTGCCCCGCCCTCCCGCACCAGGCGCTCGGGATACAGCAGGGAGCCACCCCTCGGGGGGCTCCTGGTCCTATACAGCACACCGGAGCCACCCAGGGCCCCAAGACAGACCACGGAGGAGCGCCTCCAGAGGGAAATGAGGGAGGCACCTGTGATTCTGAATTCCTACCCCCCACCCCCTTGTATAGCCTCCTCCCAAGCAACAGCCGATTGTCAGTACCACAGTGACCTACTAGCTGTTTTTAAAATGGCTGCTGGAACATGGGCCCTAAAAACATTCACCTGGCACCACCGGAAGGCCCTCACTTGTCTTCACGGACAATCGGGGGCACTTGCAGAGGCATGAGGCAGGAGCACCTCCAGCAAGTTCCAGAACAGCAAGGAGGCCGGGGTGGGGGGGGGCAAGAACCTGGGACTGGAAAGACAGTCCCTCTCCACCGCATTCAGCCACCCTGAGTCCTGCACTATCGCCACCAGCCAGCTGGGGCCCTAAAGCCCCACCCTCTCCTCTCTGGGGCCCCGCCCACGCCCCTGGGAGTGAGCTCACCATCTCATGCAAGATGTCATTAGTCAGAAAGTTGTCCTGGACGTAGGCCATCTCTACATCCATGGGGATGCCGTAGTCACTGGGCCTTTGCTGGCAGGAACACAAACCAGTCACCCTCAGCCACCTCCAGCCCTCTGCATCCCATGAAGGATGTGCCCTGGGCCAGCAATTGGCAAATCAAGACCCCAGGCCCGGCTCTGCACCGCGACCAGGTTCAGGGCCACATGGCCCTGCCCCCAGCACAAGAGGCCAGGAATAGCTCTCCAAACCCCATTCTGACCCCAGGACAGGTTCGGGAAGGGGGCCGTCTCAGTAACGCGGGCAGCACGCTCCCCATGGGGGCCACACCTCCAACATCCCTCACCGCCCGAATCTCAGATAGTGCCACGGTTATGCTCTCATTTCACGGGGGACGCTAAGGCCCCGCCCCCGCAGTGCTGGCCCCGCCTCCCCCAGCGGCCCCGCCTACCTCAGGGGGCGGCATCACCCAGAACGGCGAGATCTTAGACTCAGGGCCGGGATTGCCAGAGTAGTAAGGGGCTGCAGGAGGAGAGTGAGAGTGGGGGCTGGGCCGGGGGTGGGGTGGGGTCGGCGGCCCAGGGTGCCACGCACGCAGGCACGCACGGGGGGACTGCCACACTTACAGCAGAGCAGGGCGAGGCAGGGCTGGAAGCCGTTGCTGGAGCCCTGCAGGCGCAGCTGGTAGTCCATCTGCGAGTCTATGTCCTGCAGCGACGGCAGCGCAGGGCTGTGCGGGTGGCTGTGGTACCAGCCCACCAGGGACAGGCCCCGCAGGAGCAGGCTCTGGTAGATCTGGGGGCACAGGCGAGGCTGGGGCGGGCGGGGTGCGCGCAGGGGGCTCTACCAGCCGGTGTGTGCACCCACCTGCCGCGCTCCATCCCCCACGTGAGGCCAGCACTACCTATGTGCCTGGTGTGTACCAGGCCTGGGGACACCGCGGTGACCACGCCAGACCCTGCCCCCACCGCCCTCCGTGAGGCCAAGGGAAGGGGCACAGTCAACAAATCCATTAAAAAAAATGCACCCGTCACCAGGCAACGGCGAAAGTTTACTGGGGGCACTGCAGTATCCCTAGTTCAGGGAACAACTCCCGGCACCCAGTAGGCGCCCAAATAGTTAAACAAGCAGCTAGGTGGGCGTAGGTGCACTGGAGCAGGACAGGCGTACCCAGAGGCCTGAAGCAAGTAGAGGCAAGCGCTAGCCTAAGGACCAAGAAAGGCAGGCGCCGGGAGACGCGCGCACCAAGTGCACGCCTGTTCGCATGCCCCCGAGAGCCCCTGCCGGAGCAGGGGGCAGGCGGGCCGGAGCGCTCGGCCCGGCGCCAGGCATGTGCAAAGCTGCACGGTGTAAGCACTATCAGGACGGCCCCTGATACACATCTGGAGACGGGGGTTCAGAGAGAAAGGGGGCTGGCCACCTGTGCCCAGGGAAAGGATGATCATGGGGTCACACACACACACATTTGCACACTTGTTGAACTAGGACACTGTGCTAGCCACCAGGACACGGTAGCCAGGACAGCTGTGTCCACCCTTGCCCTCCCCAGAGCACCCTGACGCCAGGTGTCCCCTCACCTCCTCTTCCATGGCGGCGGCCATATCCGCGTCCCCCAGGCGGCTCCGACAGGGGAAGGCTCTCAGCACCGAGAGCACTGCGCAGAGGTGGGGGAAAGGTGTAGACATCAACCCTGGCCCCAAGCAGCCCCTGCCCACGTGGCCCCGAATACCCACTCTGGCTGTTGATGTCCCAGCGGCCCCCCAGGTACCCCACGACCTCGCTGCGAGTCAGGTGGCTGTGGAAGTCCTGGGGAGGGGACGGACATTGGAAGAGTGGCTCAGGCTGCGGCCCCACCCCAAAGTCTATCCTCGGGCCCAGAGCCCTGGCAATACGCAGGGCCCACCCCACCCGCCTCCTTCGTTGGGACCTTGAGTGCCTACAGTTTCTCAGCACTGACAAAGCACTTCCTGCCCTCACAGAGCTAACATTCCAGGGACCCCTCCCAGGTGCCCCAGCCACCTGCCCCGGCCTGGCCCTTGGCCCACAGGGGACAAGGGGGCAGCAGGGCACGCACCAGCAGGAACAGCACATTGCTGGAGACGGCCACATTGAACGGCTGGAACTTGTTGATGGCAGCAAAGGATGTGACTTCCACCAGGGTGTGGGGGTTCCTGTCGGAGCCAGAGGGTCCCACAGCCCCATAGCTTCAGGAGCCAGCTCCCCAGGCCTCCGGAGTCAGCTCTGACCATGGGAAGCCTTGTGCCCACCTGCTTGGGGTCCCCCCACTCTCGCAGAGCATGTAAACACCGAGGGGTCGGGGGCACAGGTTGTGTCTGCCTGGGGTGCTCCCCCCACTCCCGCAGAGCACGAGTACACCGGGGGATGAGGGGGCGGGCACAGGGGTATCTGACCTGGCAGAGTCGCGACTGCCCAACATACAGTAGCGCACGGGCACCCGGATCTTGTTTTCCACCCGCTTCCCCGGGGGCACGGCCTCTGCACAGTGTGGGGTAACAGAAAGAAGGCGGCATCGATCCCTTCCAGCCCAGAACCGGAAAACACAAGCCCAGGCAGCCCAAGAAAGGAAAACCTCCAGAGGCAACTTGAAAAATCAGGCCGCAGAATGGAGAGATTGGCGGCAGGCTAACAAATCGGGAAAAGGAGATTAAAATACCCCATGAAGGGCTTAGGAAACCAGGTGAGGACCTCAGAATACCAGGCTAGGGGCCAAAGGAATCAGGCGACGAGGCAAAGAAGTCCTATAGGGGGTCATGGAAATCAGGCAGCAGGGGAAGGAAATTAGGCAGCAGGGCTAGGAAGTCAGGCAGAAGACCAGATCCGTCCTTGGCCACCTCTCTTACCTGAGTTGTGCCCGTCTCCTGTGCCACCCCCTCCCCTCCCCTAAGCCTCTCACCTGGGTGGGGAGGCTCCAAGGGCCCCTTCGCAGGGGGTCTCCGACTCTTGTCCTCCGTCGAGACGCCCCCCAGAACCTCCTCCTCTTCTTCCTCCATCAACAGCTCCTCCTCCTCCCCTTCACTGGCCGGGCTCTGGGGGAGTGGGGGTGGGGGACGGCCACAGGACCCTCAGCTGGGTGCTGCCCACCCTCCTCACGGCCGTCTACCCAGAGGTCCACTCAGACTGCAGGTGGGCCTGAGCCTTAGGTTCCTGCCATTGCCCTAGATGTCCACTAGAGGGAGAGAGTGAGCAGAGGCGGCCTATGGTTCGGTAGCAACTCCGATTTGAGAGCCTGGCAGAAGATGCAAACTTTGCCTCTCCTTTTTACAAGCTGTGTGGCCTCCCGCAAGCACCCTGACTTCCCTGAGCTCTAGCCTCCTCATCTGTAAAACCACACAATGACCTCCAGCTGCACAGGGGCAGCATCCAGGTGAAGTAAAATAATGCCTGGAAAGCCATTAGCATGCCTCTTGTCAATCCACTCACTGGGCAAGCGAGGGCTTACAGGGATTACTTCATCAGATTCTCTCAGTAATCCCTCCTCCTGCTCTCCCTTTAACTGCCACTGCTGGGGTGACTTCCCAGTGTCCAAATCCAACAGTCACGTAGTCTCTGTCCTCGCCCCCTCGCCACGATGTCTCACTGACCCTCCTTCTCTTGGGAGCTTTTCAGGGACACGGCTCCCCTCCCACCTCTCCAGCCCCCTCAGTCTCCCACCCCTCCCCCGATGCCCAGGGTGGGTCCTCGGGCCTCTTCCCTCCCCACCTGCTCCGCTCCCAGGCAGCCTCATCCACCACCCGCTGTCCCCCCAACCGGTCTATGGCGAGATGATGCCCACCCACAGTCCTGTCTCCAGCCCGGCCCTCCCCTGAGCTTAACTTGGGGGTCCAGCTAATCCTGGCAGTCTCTTTGCGGGGGGCTCTGAGGCATCTCACGCTCAGCTCAGCCACACTGCACCCGACTGTCCCCCCACACCTGCTCCTCCCCAATCCCCATTATCTCTGACAATGGCAACTCCAGCCATCCACTTGCTCAGAGCAAAATTGCCCTTAACACCAACATCTCATGCAGCAGCAAATCCCATGAGACCCACTTTCAAAATTAGCCAAAACCCGCCCACTTCTTCCCCATCCATTGTTGGGCTGGTCCACCCCATCATCTCCCCATCTGGACCAGTTCAGTCTCCTGCATACTGGTCCCCGGCTCCCACCTTCGCCCCGCCCCCTTGGCTGTACTGCATACAGCGGCCACCAGAGGGCGCCGTGGGCACCTGAGTCAGGTCTGTTCATCCTCTGCCCCTAGCCTTCCAGGGCTCCCACCCACCCCAGGGCAAAAGCCCAAGTCCTCCCTGCCTGTTTCCAGCCTGCCAGCGGCCCTACGGATCTCAGCTCTGCCAGCTAGATATACATACCTGATACATATGGGTACTGTGATCATCTCTATTTTACGTACAAAGATTTAGGACCCAGAGAGGTCCTTGGCTAGGTCCACCTAGTTGGTGAATACACAAAGATCTATTATCATAGCATTGGAAATTCTCCCAGATCTGGTCCCTGCGAATGTCCCCAGTCCCCTCAGCTCCCTAAGACACGTCAGCCTCCAGCTCCATCAGCTAATCAGGGCTCCCCAAGTGCTGTGTTGCTTTCTAACCAGCGTGACTTGGCTGTGTCATTCCCTTGGCAAACTCTCTTCACCTTGCTCTCACGAACTCCTACTCATCCCACGGGGCCCCAGCTCCAATGCCCTTACTCTGGGGAACCCTTATCCTTGCTCCAGGAGGCTGAGCAACGCACCTCATCGGCAGCAGCCGTGGGAATGTGGAGCTGGTGTCGCCGGAGCCAGGCTGCCTTGTACTTGTCCAGTTTCTGGCCCTTGTACTTGACAGAAGCCCAGCCACACCCGGACTTCTTGGCCGGGTTCACCAGCTTTTTGCAGTGGGTTGCCCAGGCACTGGGAGAGTTGAACACCTGCCCAGTTTCCTGCCACACAATCCTCCCGTCGGGCTGCAGGTCTCCCAGGAACTTCTTCCCCTGCAGTAACAGCGGCCTGGCTGGGCCGAGAGCTGGACCCACCAAGACACCTCCAGGAAGCCCTCCCTGACCCCCTGCTGCTCCCCAGGGCTTGGCACCCACTTCCACTTACAGCGTCCCTCCCGGGAAGCCTCTGGCTTAGGGACCTCCCAGCACCTGTGTGTCCATTATCACAGTGCTCATCAGCCTGGACTGAAAGTGTCCAGCTCTGTGTCTCCACCTTCTCACTGGAGCACGAGTCCCCAAAGGGCAGGGACGGGGTCTGCCGAGTTCCCAACACGCAGCGCACAGCCAGGCGCGGCAAGCGCTCCATTCATAAACTGCTCCCACACACAGACCCACACCAGCAGCAGCAAATCCGAAAAGCACTCCGGGGATACGAGGCACCCGGCTGGGCGTTGTATTCATTTAATCCTCATACAACTCCGTAAGGGGGAAAAAAAAATCCCATTTTATATATGAGGACACTAGGATATGGAGAGGCTGCGCAAGGTGCCACAGCCAGGAAAGCGGCGGTGTCCTCTCCTGAGCTCAGTTTCTCCTTTGTGCAACGGGGTATTGGGGAAACGAGGTCCTCCAGCCCAGAGGGGCTCCGGCTGGGTCTGCATGCTCCGTGTTTCGGCTTTCCCTCCCCACACCCGGGCTCGACCGGCGGTCAGGGAGCTCTGGGCCTCAGTTTCCCCTTCCGGCCCCAGCCGAGATGGGATAGGGGTAGGGGCGCTCACCAGGTAGTAGATGGACAGCACCCCGGCGCCCGGCTCCAGCAGCGCATCTTTGAGGAGCACCCTCAGCGTGACCGCGCGCCTAGTGAGCGCGCCCCCCGGCCCGCCGCAGCCCCCCGCCCCGGCCCCAATCCCGCAGCCGCCTCCTCCTCCTCCGCAGCCGCCGCCGCCGCCGCCGCCCACACCGCTGCTGCCTCCGCTGCGCGCGCCGCCCGCACCAGCCGGGCGCTCGGGGTCCTCGGCCTCCGCCTCGTCCTCCTCCTCCTCCGGCGCCTCCTCGCCGGCGCCGCCCGCCGGGGACAGAGGCTCCGGAGCTGCGGGCAGCGACCGGCTGCATGAGCCCGCGCGCCCCCGGCCGCCGAGCCCCCGCGCCGGGTGCCTCCCGACCCGCGCCAGCCCCCCCAGCCCCGCTGTACCTGCCATGGCCGCGCCGCCCCTCGCCCCGAGCGCCCCGCGCGCCCCGCGAGCCTCGGGCCCTTTCTTCCCGGCACGTGACACGGCTCCGCCCCGAAGGGGAGGAGCCCCAGCCTGGGGGCGGGCGGGGAGCCGGGGGACTCAGGCCTCCCAGACCTTTCGGAAGACGGAGGCCCGAGGCTGCCTCCCGTGGGAGGCGCGTGGCAGCCTACAAGTGGGGAAACTGAGGCTCCGGGACTTCCGCTTTCGGGGAACTAGTGCCTCCCGTGGACGAGGCCTGGAGCTGCCGGCCGTTCAGCTCAGGGGGACGAGACGGGAAACGAGGGGCCGGAGAGCTCGGTCGGGGAACTGAGGCCGGGAGAACGAGCCAGATTGCCCTGGGGCTGCAAGCAGAACGGGGAAGGGGCCGCGCGCCACGGTTCTGAAGCGTCCCGGTCGGACCTCAGTCTCTAGAGGGTTAACTTCCACCCCTGAACTGATTCCACGGTCGGACCGAGCCCAACAGCCAATTATAGGAGGGTCACTTAAACGTTAACCAATAGGCAGCAGTCGCTGGATTCCCTCTCAGCCAATCAGTGTTAAGCTGCTGCTTCCGCCAAGCTCGTCCCTCGGCCAACCAGCAGGAGCTCCTGAGGTTCACGCATCCATTCAGTGGTAGACGTTGGTCCTCCGCCAGCCAATCAGGACCCGGGTCGGACACGCGCCCGCGGTCGGCGCGCCCACCCACTTCCCACGCCCCCTTGCGCGGGGTGTTAGTAGGCGGGGCCGGGATACGCGTCCGTGGGGAGGGTGCGTCCCTGTCCTTTGTCCCCGGTCGGTATCCCGGGACCTTTGCTCCGAGGAGCAGCAGCGCTTCCCAGAACGGAGAGTCCGCAACCCCGGGCAGGGCTGGAAGTCCGGGGGTGGGGGATGGGGGCTGGCCCGAGCCTGCGGGCAGCGTGGGCTGGGCCCCGCGCGGGTCTAGAAGGGGACAGGGCATGGGGTGAGGGCCCGATGTTCGGGACGGCGGTCTGGAGTCCGACCGGAATGGCTCCCGGTCCTGCTCCGCGCTTCCCAGCCACGTGGCCCCTCGCCGGTGTTACTCGGGGGACAGTGGTAACGCCTGCCTCAGGGTGTTGCAGATCCGGGATGGACGTCCAGAAAGAGCCGGATAAACTCACGCCCCTCCCGTAGTTTACCCACGCGCCGCGCCCCCCACCCCGACCCAGCCACCGCGGGGCATCCCCAGCATCTCCAGACTCCGACCTCCGTTCATACCCCATACCTTGCCCACGTTGTCTTTGACTGTTCCCAAGACCCTGCCCCAGACCTCCGGCCTCTCCATCTGCATTATCCAGCGTCTACCCTGGCCCCAGACAGATCTTACTAAAGGCGACCATGGCCTCCTCCCTCCCCTGCTCTAAATCCTTCTATGGCTCCCCCTTGCCTTTGATAAACAAAATTAAACGGCTGTGACCTCACTAACCATTTATGACCCCTCTTCGTGGCAGGTATGGTTAGTCAGCTTTATAAAACAGTTCATCAGAAGAGATGACCAGCTCTTGAATGTATTCCAAAGGCTATTTTTTGCCACGTGTGTAAAGTCCAGGCAGCCCTCTAACGATGAAGGAAATTGAGTTTACATCTGCCTTGGGCTCAGGTCATGATCCCAGAGTCCTGGGATAGAGCCCTGAGTTGGGCTCCATGTTTAGTGGGAAGTCTGCTTCTCCCTCTCCCTCTGCCCCTCCCCACCCCTTGAGCTTTCTCTCTCTCTCTCTCTCTCTCTGTCTCAAATAAATAAAATCTCTTAAAAATTTATATCAAGGGGCGCCTGGGTGGCTTAGTGGGTTAAGGCCTCTGCCTTCGGCTCAGGTCATGGTCTCAGGGTCCTGGGATCAGGCCCTGCATGCATCGGGCTCTCTGCTCAGCGGGGAGCCTGCTTCCCCCTCTCTCTCTGCCTGCCTCTCTGCCTACTTGTGATCTCTCTGTGTCAAATAAATAAATAAAATAAAATAAATTTATATCAGGAGGGGCGCCTGGGTGACTTAGTCGTTAATCACCTGCCTTTGGCTCAGATCATGATCCCACAGTCCTGGGATCAAGCCCCTTGTCAGGCTCCCTGCTTGGTGGGAAGCCTGCTTCTCCCTTTCCCACTCCCCCTGCTTGTGATCCTGCTCTTGCTGTGTCTCTCTCTGTCAAATAAATAACTAAAATCTTAATTAAAAAAAAAAAGAATCAATGTTATCCACCATATTTAACAGGCTGTGGTAGGTAGAGTAATGGTTCCCTAAAGATGTTCACATCCTAATCCCCAGGACCTGTGAATATGTTAGATCACATGGCAAAGGGGATTTAAGGTCCAGATAGAATTTAAGTTGCTGATCAACTGACTTTGAAGAAATTATCCTGGATTATCTGGGTGAACCCAAAGTCATCACATGCTTCTCCTAAAAGCAGAAGAGAGAAGTGACAATAGAAGAAACTGAGAGTGATACTGTAAGGATTGTACCTGCATTGCTGGATTTGTAGATGGAGAAAGGGGACTATGAACCAAGGAATGCAAGAAGCTCCTAGAAGCTGAAAGGGAAATGGGTTCATCTTCCGAGCCTCCGGAAAGGAATGCAGCCCTGCCAACACCTTGATTTCAGCTTTCTGAGATCCATGTAGGACTTGTACAGAGCTGGCGGGTAACACATCTGTGTCATTTTAAGCTTCTACGTTTACAATAATCTGCCAAAGCAGTCACAGAAAACCAACACACAAACTAAGGAAGAAAGGTTGGAAGAGCATTTCAACTGATGCAGGAAGAACAATTGACAAAATTCAACACCCATGCATGATGCAAACTCGCCTAGGAACTCACCCATGCATGACACAAACTCAGCTAGGAGCAGACAGAAACCACCTCCGCGTGCTGCAGAATGTCCGCAGATCTTCAGTTAACATTTTACTTAGTGGTGAAAGTCTACACGTTTTCCCCATAACAGAAGGAACAGGGCACTCATATCCAACACAGTCTTGGAAATTCTAGCCAGTGCAATAAGACAAGAAAAGGAAATGAAAGGCATACAAATCAGAAAGGAAAAAACACAACTAGCCCCATTTGCAGATGACGTGATGGCCTTCACGGAAAATGCCAAGAAGCATACAGGACCACCTCAGGTGAATGTGTTTCACTTTATTGCACTTCACTGATAATTGGATTTTTTAATAAATTAAAGGTTTGCAGCAACCCTGCGTCAAGCAGCACCATTTTCCTGACACCATTAGCTCATTTCGTGTCTGTCACATTTTGGTAATTCTCATCATATTCTAATCTTTTCCATCATTATTATGTACTTATGGTGGCTTATGGGAAGGGGGCAAAATAGTAACAGTACCAGGAGTTTGGGAAGAGTTGATTCACAGAAGACATTGAGAGAGAGACAAACCCAGAAATAGAGTCTTGACCACAGAGAACACACTGAGGGTTACCAGAGGGGAGGGGAGAAGTAGGTGATAGGGATTAAGGAGGGCACTTGGGATGAGCACTGAGTGGTGTATGGTATTGTTGAATCATTATATTGTACACCTGAAACTAATATAATGTGTATATTAACTAGCTGAAATTTAAATAAAAATTTAAAGATTATTTTTCAGTACAATCTACTTCCCCAAGGTGGGGCTCAAACTCATGACCCCAAGATCAAGAATCACATCTTCTACTGACTGAGCCAGCCAGGTGCCCCTTAAATAAAACTTTTTAAAAAGAGTCACCTGAAAAAAAAAATTTTAAAGGGGGCATGTGGCTGGCTAAGTTGGTGGAGCGTCTGCCTTCAGCTTAGGTCATGATCCCAGGGTCCTGAATCTGGGCTCCCTGTTCAACGGGGAGTCTGCTTCTCCCTCTGCCTCTCCCCACTGCTCATGCCTGCTCACTCACTCTCAATCTCAAATAAATAAATAAAATTTAAAAAATAAAATAAAAATCTATACCTAAAAAAAAAAATCAGTGCACATCTGTCTACTAGCAGGGAAATCTGGAATGAAAGATATGATGCCGGGGCATCTGGGTGGCTCGGCTGGTTAAATGTTTGCCTTCAGCTCAAGTCATGATTCCCGGGGTCCTGGGATCAAGCCCCATGTTGGGCTCTCTGCTCCTTGGGGAGTCTGCGGATTCTCCATCTTCCTCTGCCTGTCACTCTGTTTGTGCTCTCGCGCTCTCTCTTTCTTCTTCTTTCTGTCAAATAAATAAATACAATCTTATTTCTAAAAAAATACAATGCCATTTATAACTGCTCAAAAAAAATGCTTAGATATAAGTCTAACAAAACACACACAGGTCTTGTATGAGAAAACTATACCTTGCTGATGAACAAATTCAAAGATTTAAGTAAGTGAAGAGACAGACCATGTCAATGGATAAGACTCAACACAACAGGGATGGGTCAGTAGAGCTCGTGACTCTTGATCTCCGAGTTGTAAATTCCAGCCCCACCTTGGGCGTAGAGATTCCTTAAAAAAAAAAAAAAAAAAAGACTCAACATAGTAAAGATGTCAGGTCTTCCCCAGTTGATATACAGGTGTAATTCCTATCAAAATCCCAGCAAGATTTATTTTAAAGATCTTATTTATTTATCTGACAGAGATTACAAGTAGGCAGAGAGGCAGGCATAGAAAGAGGGAAGCAGCCTCCGTGGGGCTCAATCCTAGGACCCTGAGATCATGACCTGAACCCAAGGCATAGGCTTAACCCACTGAGCCACCCAGGTGCCCCTAACCCAGTGAGATTTTTTGGTAGGTTTAGGCAAGGTTGGGCTAAAGGGGCATTCAGACCTTCATGCTCTGTCCTGCTGTGCTCTCTCCTGTGACACAGCGCTTGCCACTCTGACACATTGCTCCTCCCTTTCTCACAACCAGACCTTTGCTTAGGCAGGTCCCTCCTCCCGGTGAACCCTCTGTCCAGTCTCTGCCCTGCACTGAGAGCCTCCCAGTGGCTCCCTCCTCCGTAACTCCTGCAGACCTCCCAGACCTGCTGGGGAGACCAGAGAGGCTGGGATTTCCCTGGGACAAGCCTGGCCCAGCCCCCACCCAGAGCTGGCAGGGGAGGGAGCTGGGAAGCTGACAGAAGAGGAAATTCCCCGGGAACCTGTTTCTCTGCTTCCTGGCCCAGCTGGGGCACCCACTGGAGGGAGAGGCCAGGCTATGGCCTCAGCCCTAAGCCCACCCCGGGTCCCCAAACACAAGGGTGCTCTACCCTCACACTACTATGAGAGCTTTCTGGAGAAGAAGGGACCCCACGATCAGGTAAGGTGGGGCAGGGAGCTGGCACAGCTGGGCTCCTGGGTGGCCTAGAACTCTGCATCTGGCCAAGGGGGATGGGTGGGACTGAGTGGAGTAGGGTGTGTGCTGGGGGCTGTCCATCATCAAGCTTCTTTCTCTCTCTCTCTCTGTGCCTCTCCCTGCCTGTCTCCATGGGTCTCCCTCCTGGTCTCTCTGTCTCTTTGGATACAGGAAGGATCAGGGACTTCTACCAGGAAATGGGAAGCCTTCGGACTCCCATGCCCCACCCCTAGTCCCTAAGAAACCATGAACCTCAGCTGCAGGGGTCAAGGCCAGGACAGGTGGCATGTGGGGACAGTGCAAGCTGTGGGGGCCACATCTGGCAGGACCAGATACTCCTTCCCTGAAGCCCCAGCCCCCCTCCCCACTGCTCACACTCATCTCCTGCTACAACCCCAAATACCCACCTGCTGCTTTCCCTGCCCACCCCCAGAGCCACTGGCATTGCCGTTCCCTCTTCCCTTCCTTGTGCCTCCAAGTGCCCACATCCTCCCCAGCCTAGACAGCATGGAGACCCCAGAGGCTAAGAAAGGCCTGTCCCCAGAGTGCAAGAACGAGCTTCACATCCCTGCTGTAAGCCTCCCTGACTCCCAGGCCTTGGACAAGTGACTCTCTGTCTCTGTGCCTCATTTTTCTCTAGTACAAAATGGGTACGCTAGGGCTAGGGCCCTAGTCAAGGTTACGGGAGAGGGGTAGCCCTCAGTGGTCTGCGGATTTGACTCCACCATCGCTGGTGCTTTACTGGCATTCATGCACCCAATTTTCACAACAACCCTCGAGGTGGGTACATCTCTATGGCCATTTTATAGGTGGGGAAACTGAGGCACGGAGCGGTTAAATACCGTGTGGTCCCTGAGGAAGCAGGTCTGACCATGCTGAGTTTAATCACTCATTGCTCTGTTCCCAGTGCCTGGCACACAGTAGGTCCTCGGTAAATGTTAAATGTATGTCTACACGGACAGATGGGTGGGTGGGTGGATATGCAGATGAATAGATGGATGGACAGATGGATAGGGAGGCAGACGGTTGCAGTGACAGGTGGATTGATGAATGGATGCTAGCTGTCAATATGAGAACTATCCTCGCTATCATTATGGACTAACTAGAGTACCATCTCCTCCAGGAAGTCTTCCCAGATTCCTACTTGGAGGGCCTTTCTCGTCCTCTGTGACCCCAAGGCTCAGGGTCTGTCCTCCTAGGGTACTAATTTCTCTTCCCTAGAGGATTTTGGTGTCTATGTTTTCTTTTTTCCTTTTAAGTTCTTATTTATTTATTTGAGAGAGGACATGAGGGGAGGGGGAGCAGAGGCAGAGGGAGAGACAGAATCCTCAAGCAGACTCCCTGCTAAGAGCAGAGCCCTCTGCAGGGTCCCATGTCAGGACCCCGAGATCAAGACCCGAGCCCAAACCAAGAGTCAGGCGCTTCACTGACTGAGCCACCCAGGCACCCCACATTTTAGTATCTGTGCTTTCTGTATTCTTCCAGAAGATAATCTATTTTGAAACAGGAGCCATGTCTCATTTATTATTTTGCCTGCAACACAATAACAAAATTGGGTGCGGAGTAGGTGTTTGGGGAATATTTCCTGGGGAAAAACCTAGAAGCTTACAGTCCTGGCTGTGTCAGCCCCTTAGACCTCCTGAGAGTTGGGACATTTATAAATCAGAATCCTGGGGAGACGTCCTGAATCTACAGTCCTTCTAGAGTCCAGAACCGTGTGAAATCAGGAGATCGCAGTAAATATCTATGGGCTGGACACAGAGAAGGGGGATGTATGTAGGTGCGGATGAGTAAACAGATGGATGGCAGATGGTTAGTTCAGTTCTCTCCTAGAGCTCCTACCTCTGTACACTGGGAGGCTGCTCTGGATCTCCCATCCCATCCAAGTTCTCTTCAACCCTTTCTCAAAGAATAATGGGTCCCCAGAAGCTGGGCTGTGGATGGGGAGGGCCTCCCAGAGAAAGCAACATTTTTTTTTGAAGATTTTATTTATTTACTTGACAGAGAGAGATCCACAAGTAGGCAGAGAGGCAGGCAGAGAGAGAGAGAGAGGGAAGCAGACTCCCTGCTGAGCAGAGAGCCCGATGCGGGACTTGATCCCAGGACCCTGAGATCATGACCTGAGCCGAAGGCAATGGCCTAACCCACTGAGCCACCCAGGCGCCCGAGAAAGCAACATTTGTTCAAAGATCCAAAGCAGGCAATGAAGGAAACTTTGTGAAGATCTCAGGAAAGAGTATCCAGGTGGCAAGAACAGCCAGTGCAAAGGTCCTGAGACAGGAGTGGGTGTCCTGGAGGCAGCCAGAATTTACCTTCTCATCTTCTGCTCTCTACCTTTGGTCCCCAGGATTACAAGAAGTTCTGGGCAGGCCTCCAGGGTTGCACTCTGTATTTCTATAACAGCAATCGGGACTCCCAGGTAAGGATGGGCAGGAGGGCTTGAGAGCTGATCTCCCAGCCCCAAGCTTGACCTCAAGGACCAAGTAGAGAGCCGGGATGGTGTGGCCAAGTCAGAGGGCCTGGCGAGCCACAAGCCTGGTGCTCAGACTCCTGCTTCTGGATCCCCAGCACGTGGAGAAGTTAGTCCTAGGAGCATTTGTGAAGCTCACGGATGAGGTGCCCTGGGAAAGCTCCGGAGACCCTGGTATCTATTTCAGCCTCTTCCTCCGGAACCAAGAGATCAAGTTCAAGGTAGGCCCAACCCTCCCTGCCACACTCACCATTCACACCCATTAGGATGGATTCACACAGGGTCTACCGCTGGGGTGGTGACCCTGGGCGACTCACTTTGCTTTTCTACACTTTGGTTTCTACAACTGCAAAACGGGATAATATAGGTAAAGTAGTCCGAACAGATGGGAGCTACGCGGAGGGTCGCTGCCCGCCTGCAATGTTTCAGCCAACGTTACTGAGCACCTGCTATGTGCCAGACACCCTCCCGGTACCTGCCTTCAGCTCAGGTCATGATCCCTGGGTCCTGGGATCAGCCTTGGATTGGGCTCCCTGCTGGGGGCGGGGAGCCTGCTTCTCACTCTCCCTCTGCCCCTTCTCCTGCTCATGCTCTCTCCCTCCCTCTCTCTCTCTCAAAATAAGATAAATAAAATCTTTTTAAACAGTCGATGTAGAAAAAACAAATAAATAAATGCTGATGCAGTGACATTAGGGGACAGCATCCCACATTACTAAGGACTTCGGTTCAGACATCCTAAATTTACCCGTCCTTCCTCATTTAACCCTGAAAACAGCTACCATTCCTCATTCGCATTCCACGGGTGAGTGGGCCGAGGCTCACCGACGCGGCCTCCTTCTTTTTCCCTCCCCAGGTTGAGAGCCTGGAGTCTCGGGAGATGTGGAAAGGCTTCATCCTGACGGTGGTCGAGGTGAGAGCGGTCGCCTGCTCAGAGCCCTCTTTGCTCTTTCCACCCTGCATCCCCCCCAACCAGCCCCTCCCACACGGTGGTCCGTGGGCCAGGCGGAGCCCACAGACATCAAACATGCGAACGTTGGCTGGAGTTTTTGTCAACATTCCTGATTCCTCTTTTGGTCACTGGTGCCCCGCGTGGCCCCTGCAGGCGCCGGGCTCGACACCCGGCCTTCGTTCTAGCGTCTGCGCTGTCCTCCCCATCAGTGAAGTGTCTTCAGGTCCCCTGCAAGGCCTCTTGGCCCCTGCCCTGGGGGGCTGCGGAGCCCCCAGACCCGGGTTCCCATCCGGGCTCGGCCCGCACCCCGGCCTCAGGGGGCCCATCGGTGACACGGGCACAGGCCGCTGGAGCCCTGACAGCAGGGCGTCTTTGGGCGCCCCATCGCCCCTCAGCTGCGTGTCCCGTCCAACCTGACCCTGCTGCCCGGACACCTGTACATGATGGCCGAGGCTCTGGCCAAAGAGGAGGCGCGCCGCGCGCTCGAGCTGCCCTCGTGAGTGGCCCTCGGGGCCGAGGGGCCCCGGGACGGCGGCGGACGGAAGCGCGGGGCGGGAGCGTTGGGGAGGACAGCCCGGTGTGCAGGGACTCCTCGGGGTCCGGGGGCGGGGCCTGCCCTGAGCGAGGGACGCGGCCCGCCCCAGCTGCTTCCTGAAGGTGAGCCGGCTGGACGCGCAGCTGCTCCTGGAGCGCTATCCCGACTGCGGAAACCTGCTGCTGCGACCCAGCGGGGACGGCGGGGACGACGTGTCGGTCACCACGCTCCAGACGTTCAACGGGTGCGCCTGCGCGGCGTCGGGCCGGGAGGAGGGGCGAGAGTGGGGGCGGAGTCAGAGCTGGGACGGGGAGGCGGAAGGCCCTGGGGGCGGGGCCAGAGCTCCCCGAGCGTGGGGTCTTGAGGCCAGCCGGGCTCTGGGATGCGGGAGGGAGTCCGAGTCTGGGGGCGGGGCTAGAGACCAAACAGGGCGGTGGATCCCCCTTGGGGGAGGAGCTAGATCCTGGAGCTGGGACGGACTCCAGGCGAGGTCAGCCCTTTGCATTGAGATCGGCTGGGTCTGGGCCTCTGGAGCCGGGAAGAAATCAAATCCAGGGGTGCTAACCTGCCCCTTGGGCGGGGTCAGGACCTGTGGGTGGAGTCACGTCCCGGCCCTCCCCCGCGGTGGTTGACTCAGGCTTCGGAGGTGAAGACACTCTGGGGGCGGTTCGGAGCCTGACAGTAAAGCTTCCTTTGGGATAGTCGGGTGAGGGGTCGGGTGGTTTGAAGGTGGAGTCAGCGCCCCGGGGGCGGGGCCAGCAGGGAGGCGGGGCCTCCGGGGGTGGAGCCTTCAGGACTAGGTCCTCCCTGGGGGCAGTGCCAGGACCTGTGGCTTCGTCTTCCCGGAGGCTGCAGTCGGTTGAGGGTCTGGTTCTCCGCAGAGACGCAAGCCAGGACGGGGCGTGGTCAGCGTGCCGGGGAGCTAGAAAAGTTTAGGCCCCTCGTGGGGGCGGACCCAGGACAAGGGCGGGGTCCTCCCTGGTCGGAGCCCGTCCACCCACTCACCACTGCCTGTGCAGGACGTCGGTGGTCCGGCACTACAAGGTGAAGCGTGAGGGCCCCAAGTATGTGATCGACGTGGAGGAGCCGGTGAGCGTCGGGCCGGGCTCCGGCGATGCGCAGTGATGGGCTGTGCGCCCCTTCCACAACAGCCTTGATTGAGACCCCTATCCGCCTCCAGTTCTCCTGTGCCTCACTCCACTCAGTGGTCAACTATTTCGTGTCACACACCAATAACGCGCTGGTGCCCTTCCTGCTGGACGAAGACTACGAGAAGGTTCTAGGTAAGTGCGGCCTCAGGGAACTCCGGGGGGGTGTGTGTGCCAGTACGTGCTTCTCCAGCCCCTTACCCCGCAGGCCACCCCGGGGTCAATGCCCAGCCGCTGCACCTCCTCTAGGACCGCTCTCTGTTCTAGGCCACGTGGAGGCGGATAAAGAGAATGGCGAGAGTGTATGGGTGGCAAGCTCGACCCCCGCGGCCCCCAGCCCAGGTGATGCCCCGCCCTGCGGCCGCTGCTGTGCCAGCCTGGGGAGAGACCTGGGACCCTCATGGCACCGCCCGTGTCCAATCTTGTACCCAGAGTTGCAAGGACCCAGAAATTACCCAGACCCTGCCCTCCGGGTTGTGGAGCTGGACAGCTCCCAGCCCCGTGAGGTAGAACCTGGGGCTGGAGGCAGCAGCACCTAGACTTGGGGAGAGAAAGAGGGCAGTGTAGGGGGAAGGCTTCCTGTAGGAGGGCGTGTTTGCTTAAGGTCTCAAAGGATTTCAGTAGCTAGAGATGGGCTTCACTGGGAGCAAGAAACTACCCAGAGACAGCATCCGAATTGGCTGTTGGGGTGGGAGGTGGTCTGGTTTATGGAGCAGGAAGAAGAGGCTGGAAAGGTCTGTGGGGTGAGCAGTCTGGTTCTCCTGGGGCTGGGCAGATGCGTGGAGGGGGGAACCCTTGTGCACGCACCTAAGCCACAACCATGCGTGTACACACAAATGCTCACTCGTGGGTGCAAATTCAGACATTTCTAGGTACGTGGGTGTGCACACTGGTATAGACGAGCTGGGGGCACACACTTCATTATCCGCGAAGTGCCATGCACGTACAGATGTTTAGGTGCAGTGTGCGAACCCTTTACATATAGTCAACTATGCGGATTCACTCAGTGTACATGTTTCTACGATGAGGGACGGACACGCACACGCACAGGGTCACATGCTTGAATCCCTGCGTGTATACATACGTCCACATTCGGGCGCACACAGACACACGCCAAGGTGTCCCTGCACCACGTGGACCCAGATCGGGAACTGCCGTTTCCCACCAGGGCCCACACTGGCCTCGGGTGGCCCCAAGAAGCTGCCTCCCCTGCCCATCACGCCTGTGGCAAGCCAGGACAGGTCACCCCCACTCCTGAACCAGGACGAGAACTATGTGATCCCCATCGGAGACGACCCAGCTGCCAACTACATGACTGGGGATGGTAGGTGGGGAGGGTGTGGAGGGGAGATGGGGACAGGGGGAGGTGGCTAAAAGCCGGAGGTGACACACCACACCTTTGTCCACGCAGTGCCTCCCCCCAGTCGGTTGGTCCCGAAGCCCAGGAGGTTGGCAAAGGTTCAGGCCAAGCCTCTAAAGCCACCTGTTGCCCCCAAGCCAGGTAGGGGGTTCCTGCCTCCCCCGGGGCCTTCCCTCACCCAGCCAAGAGCCAGCCCTGGCCTTCATCTGTCCATCTGCCTTCTCCTCCAGAACCCAAAGTCCTCAACAGCGGCCTGGCCAAGAAGCTAGCGGTGGGCTCAATGCAGACTCTCTTCCCCACAACAGGTGAGGCCTGTGGGGGTCTGCACTCCCCGGTGGGCGGCTGGCTCAGCCACATGGGACTCCCGCTCCGAAGTGCTCCATGCTCGGTCTGATGCCGGGCAGTCTTGAAACTCCTTGGGGCTTTTGGGTACATTTTCACTTTTCACGGGGCCCCGCAGATTCTGCAGGGAGTCATGGGTGGATGTGGGGTGGGGGGATGGCATGGACGAGGGAAAACACCCCCCCCATGCCCGGTGCACCTGAGGCCTCCGTCACCTCCCACCCTCCCCAGCCCCAAAGCTGGCAGATTTGACAGCAGAGCTGGAAGAGAAACTGCAGAGGAGACGAGTGCTGGAGCACTGAGGCGTAGGCACCGGGGATCCATGAGCCGCTCTTCGGCTGCGGAAGTCAGCCAGGCCACCCCCCTCCCCAGAATAAAAGCTCAAGTGATCCCCTGGGGGCTGATGTGTCTGGCCTGGCTTGGGGGCGGTGGGCAGTGAGGGTCAGATGCCCACCCACAGCAGGCCCCACTTACTCGGCCAAAACTGCCACCTGACCCTACAGGAAAGACCCATTTCACAGCCAGGAAAGCTGAGGTCCAGAAAGGTCGGGGGCACGCTCAGTGCCAGCCAGCCCCAAAGAACCATCAGCACGGCCTGGCCAGTGATTGACTTTTATTAGGAGGTGAGGTAGGGACGAGGGCCCGCCCTGGTGCCCCCTCCCCCCATCAGGAGTTAAGGCTCCAAGCAGCAGGTGAGACGAGGGTGGCGACTGCAACAAGGCCTGGGCAGCTGGGCGGGGGGTTCCCCAAACTCAGCCAGGCTGGGCAGGCGCTCCCGGGCCTAGGTGAGGCTGGTGTTGGAGCTGCTGGTGGCACTGCCCCGCTTCTGCAAGCAGCGCACAGAGCTGGGGACCTGTAGGCCTGTGGTCACCTGGAAGCTGCCGCACCACACCTGGGGACCAGGAACCGGGGACTGGTGAGCCGCAGGGGCAGGCTCAGGCACCGCAGAGCCGGCCCCGGCCCCACCCCTGCCCGCCCAGCCGCTGAACCGTTCTCACTGTGAAAGCGGGCAGCAGGGGCTGCGTGAACTTGGCCTTGAAGGTGTGCAGCAGCTGTTTGGTTCGGGCGTTGTAGAAGGACAGGAGGCCTGGGGTGGAGGGAGAGCGATAGGGTTGGGGTGGGGGCGTAGGGAGAGGGGCTCATGGCCAAGGGCGGGCAGGGAGAGGGGGCTCGGGGTCACCTTGGTGGAAGTCGCAGTGCACACCCAGGCAGTCGGGCACGGGGGGCTCCAGCACCTTGGCCTTGTTGGCGTGCTTGGCGGTGAAGCTGACCTGCAGCCAGTTGTTGACGTGGAGGCACCAGGACGCGGCCGTCTTGCCCAGCTGCTCGAAGCGGCCCAGGCTGCGGTACGCCACCCCCACGCCGAACGCCTTGCTGTCCGGCTCATAGCGCACCTCCCAGTAATGCTCCCCGCCGTCGATCAGCGTGTCCCCTGGGGCGGGGGGGCGGGGGGCAGCGGGGGCTGGTGGAGTCGTGTGCCAGAGGCCCTTCCACAAAGGGCTGGTCACCCAGGTACTCCCCAGGCCCCAGCGCTTCCCTCCAGATACTCCCTAGTTCCCGGCTATTCCTCTTGGGGAGTCCCCAGGCTGCATCCACTCCCTCTAGACACTCAGAGAGCCCAGATACTCTCCAAGCCTCAACTAATCCTTTCAGATTCTCTGCAGACCCAAGCTACTCCTTCCAGATGCTTCCAGAAACTTCCTCCAGTTCCTCCCCATGTTGAGCTACTCCTCAGTCCTCAGTCCTTCCAGCCACTAGATGATTCCCAGACCCTTGTTCCCGGCCAACTCCCCAGTACTCCCACAGGCCTCGCGTCCTCCCAGAGTGCGATGCTCCCTAGCACTCTGGGACGCTTTCCTAACACTTTCCAGATTCTGCCCAGGGCCCCAGCTCCTGTCCATCTCCCAGCTCAGCTCCTCCACAGATGCGGGGCTCGTCCCCATGTACGTTTTTTCCCTGGGCCTGTTCCTTCCCGACCTCAGCTACTCTCCCAACCACAACTAGGCAAGGCTCTCCCCTCTGAAGTCTCAGTCACCCTGCACACCGCCCCCCTCTGCCCCTTCCCCTGCTTCTTCCTCTAACCCCACCTCTAGCCAAGAATGGCAACCATTCCTTCCAGCTACTTTGCAAATCTCAGGCACTCCACGAACCCCAGGACCCGCGCCCCCCGCACCCCGGGCCGATCTCCTGGCCAGAGCCTACATAAGCTCTGCTCCCCACCCACGGAAAGCCCACACCCCCCAATCCCCGCACTCCTCCAGCACCACAAGCAACACATTATTGGAACCATTCCCAGAAAGCTTTGGGGGTGGCTACCTCAGTTTCCCCACCCAAAGGAGTTCTCTCCCACCACCCACCATCAGGGCCCTGCCCAGAGTGTCCCATCTGTCCTTCTGATTCCGCCCCTCCTTACCCAGCACCGTGTAGGACTCAGCAGTGAAGCGGTCCCGACCCCCACGACCTGAAGGCATCCTCTTGGGGGATGGCACACCTCTGTGAGGGGCAGGGAGGGGGAGGCTCAGTTCGGGCCTCACTGCTCCCAAGGAGGGTTTCCCTGGACCGCCCAGCCACCATGATCTTCTCCTCAGTCCTCCACAGGGTTTGGTTCTTTCACCCTGGGTCCTGCATATCGTGCCCTGCCCCGTGTGGAAAACTTTCAGGTGGCAAAACCCAATTAAAAGCCTCTTCTCCCTTCATTTACTCTTGGGGCTCCTCTAGCTCTGTGTCCCTCCTTCCACCCCAGCCTCGACCATCCTGGACCTTGGGTGTCCATGTCCAGCTCGCTGTCCTCCAGCAGACACTCAAGGAGGGCAGGAGGGGGCAGGCTACCTGGCTGGGGAGTTGACGGGAGATGCCGTCCGCCCCTTGCCATCTTTCTCGCGAGCCTTGATGTCCTGGACCTTCCCGCCCATGGCGTCCCACTCCACAGAGAGGTCCTCCACTCGCAGGTTCTGGTGAGATGTGGACGCATCCAGGCGGAACATGAACGCTGGGGCCGGGCAGACGCGGGAGTCACAGAGATGGGGAAACCCGGAGAGACACAGAGAGAGACAGAGAGACAGACAGTGACCAAGACAGACCGTGACAGGGACAGAGAACAGAAAAAGACAACGGCGACAGAGACAAAGACAGAGAGAGGGTGACGGACGGACTCAGGGGCAGACAGACACAGACAGGACAGGCAGCAAGATACCAAGACGACAGATGGGGAAGCACGGAAGGGGCAGAGAGCACAGCCAGGGGAGGGAAGGCTGGGAGCGTGTTGCCTAAAGGTCCCTTAGGTCTGAAGGTATTTCCAAAGGGCTTGTGCTCTTTGCTTCTCTTGGGGATTGATCGCAGGAGAAGGGGCCGGGTCATACATAAGACAGTATTTTAGGTAGACTGCAGAAGGACTGCCTATGAGGGCACGCAAAGGTGTTGCTTCAAGAAAGTAAGATCGGGCTTCACGTCGGATATCCCACCCCCTTCTCTAAGAGCCCTTATCTTTTTTTCTTTTCTCTTCTTTTCTTTTCTTTTTTTTTTTTAAGAAGAGAGAATGAGTGTGTGTGTTGAGGTGTGTGAGAGAGAGGGAAAGAGTATCAAACCCATACAGGCACCATGGGATCAAATGCAAAAGCAAAAAACGATAGCAGGCACAGAGTAGACACTTGGGCTGAGGAATCTACTGTGGATACATGCTGAGCTTCCTGGCAGCCAGAGCAAAAAGGGCCACAGAACCCTGATTAGAAGATTATCATTATACACCAGAACCTGGGGCCCTGGTGTGAGGGGCTATGGAGTCACAGACAAGGTGGGGAGGGGCAGTCACCTGGTGTCTCCAGGGTCACCGGCTCAGAGAACTCGCCTGCCACGGCCTTATTACAGGCCTTCACGCGAAAATTCATGTATTTCATGTCAAACTTGAGACCTAAGACAAAGAGAGAGATCACAACGTTGTGTGTGCTTTGAGCAACTGGTTATAGGTCCCTGCATCCCCCAGTAATCCCACCACTCCTCGATCTAAGGACCACGTTGCAAAGGACATTTTATCCCTGAAAAACCCCCCTTGCCCTCATTCACCTGCATGGCTATGGATGACTTGGCTCCGCCTCCAACCCAGACTGGCCAATCAGAATGCTTTAGGAAGCAGTAATAGCAATTGGTTCAGGAATAGCACATGACCCAAACTGACCAATAAGAATTTTCCCTGGGGCGTTGGTCTGGTATTCTAGGGAGCAGAGTCACTGTCTTGTCCAGGGTGGTTGGAGGAGGCTCCTCTTGGGAAAATTTCTCAGTGCATTTGCAGGCCCCCTCAGAATGCAGTCCCCAGATCCAACAAAGTGCAGGGAACAACGGTGAGCCAGTCATTTGCTGGAACCCTTGGATCTAGCCATGCCGGGTTAAAAATTTCCCCTACTTCTAGGATATGTCCCACACTCCCGTCCGTCCTTCTTGTATTCATTTCTTCCAGTCTTAAAAAATAAAAAGCAACTACCTAGCTGTCTTTAGTTATGTTTCCTCAAACTAAACCTCTTTCTAGAGCTTTCTTCATCCCTACCCCCTCTCTGCTGCCTCGCTCCCTCTCCCTCCTCTGGCTTGGTCAATCCCCACCTTGTAGGATCTCCTGGCTGACCATTCCTTCCCTCCTGGAACATTCTCTTTCCTTGGCAGCCAAGGCACTGTGTGTCCTGGCTAGCCCCTGCATTTGTTCTCCCTAGGTCTCCTTTGTAGGCTCCTCCCTCCTTGACTCCCTTAAATGTCGGGGTGACTCAGTCTGGGGTCCTTACTCATCTCACTCTGATCCCTGACCCCTCCTTGCCCTTCAGATACCATCCATCCACCACAACACCCACAGCCCAACCTGTAGCCCAAACCACATGTCCGGTTGCCTCCTGAGAGTTCCCCATGGGATGCCCACTCTCTGATCATCCCAAAGAGCACTCAGCCACCCCCGCTATAAAACCTCCCATAGCTCCCCTTGCCCTCCAGGTAAAGACCCCGTTCCTCCTCTCACTTCTCTCGTTAAGTGGCAAACTTAACTAGTTCCAGACACAAAGTCTCAGTGCTCTGGCCTCTGAGTCCTCGATCTGATTGTCCTTCTGCTTGGAAGGCCGTTCTCCAGCCACTCCTTCTCTTTCCAGCTGCAGGCTGGCTGCCACCTCCTCCAGGCACCCAGAACTATCTCCCCCTTCTTGGATTCCCTTCTCCGAGAGTTCAGCGCTTGGCTCAGCGACACCGTCTACTGCCCACCCACTCCCCCACCCCGAGCAAAGATTACTGACCAGAAGGCTCGGTTTTAGAAACCTGGAACCCATCTGACTCTGGTTGGTCTGGGCTCACAGCGGGCCTTGGTCTCCTATCTTGCAAACCAACCATC